TACGTAAGGAACTCATCAAGATGTTCAACTATGTCCAGAGTTCTATAATCAATTTGTCTTGAAGTCGGTTTCAACACACACTCAACCAATATAAATAATCTCAGCTTAAATTTATCTTCTTCATCTTCACACATGTGGAAAGCTTCAAAAAGCATTCTATTGCTAATTTTTTTTTTGCACCATTGAAGTATTGATTTCTAAGACGATTGTTATTATAATCAATTTCTATTAATGGTTCATGGCAAGGTAGTACAGTAATGAGGCAAAATTCTTGCATGCCAAACCTAGCAAGATGGTCATCTAACCGTACCCAAAATTCATTATTTTTGCCACAATGTACAAGTCTCATTATAAATTCGTGTACCAACTTACTAGTAAATTGTTCTTCTTCTCCTTTGAAAACAACTCCATAAATAAATTTTACTACACATCAAAGAACATTGTTGATTTGCATCTATAAATTTTACAAAAATTTTAATTTATTCATGATTTGGATACTGAATGATAGTAGTAAAAAACCATTGTTCTGGAGAGAGAATATATTTTAAAGACATCTGCATGAATTATACAAGAATTAATATTTTTAAACAAATCTAATTTTTTGTTTAGGAAAGCTTGTATACTAAACAAACTATAAGTAAGTGTCCAATTATTCAAGAATTAATATTTTCATTTGATTTTATACATCTAGTATACTAAAATAAAGTACCGTTAAGTGTAAAATTATTTAAGAATTAATATTTTCAAACAAATATAATTTTTTTTTCACGTCTTGTATTCTAAAAAAATTAAAATAAAGTGTAAAAATATTCAAAAATTAATGTTTCAAACAAATTTAATATTTTTGTTTATATATATCGTAAAACATATTAATAGCAGGGCTGGGTTTAAAAAAAAAAATTTAAAAGTTTCGTGTGCTTGTCTCCGTGACACACGAAGAAATGTGGTCTCCATGACACGGAGACGAGCTCATGGAGACAACTGTCTCGTGATTAATGAAGATGGTTTTTTTGACTAAATTGTATTTTCGTGCTAGAAAAATATATTTTTTCGATGATATTCAACTAATTACTAAGTCGCACAAATCTTAAATATAAATTTTGAATTACTTACCTTTTCTAATCAAATGAGTGCATTTTTTGAGTGAATGTGAAAAAATCTTTCATGCTAAATGTCTTTCAGAGTGAATGTGAGAATGAGATTTTAATTAAAAAGTGTGGGGAGTGAGTGAACGAGAGTGAGTGCATGTGACAATTAATTCTAGCTAAATGTGTGGATGGGGGAGTGAATGTAAGGATAATGAGTGAATGAAAAGTAGCTAAAAGTGTGCATGTGAGTAAATGTCAGAACAATTTTGTTGTGTTATGATAATTGAATGTTGTTGATAGATTCTGTATATGGTGAATATATTTGCTTGTTGCATTGTGATAATTGAATATTTTTCACACATTATTGATATATATCAATGGTTTCTTTACGCATCAATTTGTAACTTCTTGTGTTGCAATAATTGAAACTTTTTGACAAATTATAAATTTCTTTAATTGAATATTCGTAATTTTTTTTGTTTAATTTATGAAATTATTTTTGAAAATT